CGAACGAGGACCTGGCACGGCACCTTCGTCTTGCAGGAGCTGACTCACAAGTGGTGAAGGCTTGCCAGCAACTACAGTGTCAAACCTGCTGTCGGTCCACCTCAACGGGGGGACGAAGGCCTACTAAGGTGGTGAAACCGCTTGACTTCAACGAGGAGGTTGCCGTGGACACCATGGACCTACACACTTGCGAAGGGGCCGAGATCACGGTCCTATCCATGCTGGATGTGGGATCAGAGTTCCACCTTGTGTACCCCGTGACTGGGAAAACTGGAGGGGACTATGCAAGGGGCTTTCTACGAGCATGGATGGCTTGGGCCGGAACACCAACCACGAACACCAACCACCGTACTAGTCGATCAAGAACGGGGGCTGATGAAAGACTTCCCAGCAGAATTGGAGAAACACGGCATCAACATCCAGTATACGGCCGGACAAGCACACTGGCAAAATGGGCATGTTGGACAACAAAATGAATGGTTCCGCCAGATGTTCGACCGGGTGAAAAAGCACATCTCCATGAAAGGTCACGAGACCAATTGGGTCCCCGCTGCCGTCGGGGAAGCCAAGAACTACCTAAGGAGAAGACATGGATACTCACCAGCTCAGTGGCTTTTTGGGGTAGCTCCCAAACTCGGCATTGGTTTGATTGATGGGGATGACGACGCTGCAGAACGTCAAGATCTCATCGACCCATCTGAGGAGTGGCAAAGAAGAGCAAACATAAGACAAGCAGCCCGAGAAGCCTATGTACAACTACAAGCAACTGAGCATCTCCAACGAGCACTACATGGTCGCCCCCGGGTTCTTCATGGTGATTTCCAACAAGGACAATATGTGTACATCTACCGCTCCTCGAAGAAGGCTGGTGGAGCCGCTCGCAAGAAGCAAAATGTTGGAGAATGGATTGGACCTGGGATTGTAGTGGGCCAGGAAGGGAAGAACTTCTGGGTCTCCAGAGGGGGACGCTGCCTTCTATGTGCTCGAGAACACCTTAGGTTGGCGGAATCTGAAGAACTTGGAGCTGCCCTACAAGCCCGTGCCGTCAAGAGGGACCTAATGCAATTGATCGAGGGGATGGAGGTAGATGATCCTGAGGTCTTTGCCGACGCCACTGGGGACCTCGAACGCCATCTACCTGAACATTCCGAGATGGACTATACTCCTACTGAACCCGGCGACGAGCTTCCAGGAGATGAAGAAGGAGAAAGAACAAGGGCAAACAAACGGGAGACAGAACAAAAGCTAGTCCCAGTCAAGAGGATGAAACAAAAGGAGGACGTTCCTATGGCTCCCTCCAATGTCCCGGTCCCTGACGATGATGAGTTGCTTTGTTACATGGCCTCAAGTGATGGAAAGCAACGGACAGTACTGAAGCCAAACACTGAGGTACCAGTCGCCACCAAAATGTCCATTACATGCTTGGTCTTCCTCACGGCGCAGCAGGGTTGATCATTGGCTGCAGGGGACATCGAGGTTGCCTCCCTCAATGAGGTTGGATGCCGAAGCGGTCTCTGCGTGGAGCCATCACCCTCGACCTCGCCAAGACTATGGTGGGACAAGTCGGTCGGAACTTTAAAGAAGATCAAGATTGGGTATAAGGGCACGGTCTTGAACCTGGAACAACATCATCTGGACAGTTGTCTGTTCCTCCTCTTCAGCGAAGAGAAGGAGGTACGTGGACTACTGGCCTTCCATGCGGACAACATCATCATTTCCGCCCAGCCTGACATCCGACACAAAATGGAGAGGCCATATCCGGCACTCTTCCTATCAACAGATGGGAGGATGCAAGCGATGGATTAGAGTATTGTGGAGTGTCCATCAAACAGTCTAGCAACGAGATCTCCTTGAGCCAAGAGCACTATGTGAACACCATGCTACACACCGTGGACATTCCCAAGGGGGTTGACATGGAAGGAAAAGCAGATGAGGTTTCAATACTGGACAACCAATCCATAGTCAGGGCACTTTCTTGGCTTGCCTCTCAGACGAGGCCCGACCTCCAAGCTGGTGTCTCGATGGCCCAAAGGAGACAAAAGAGTCCGACCTACATCAAGGTAACCAACCAGGTGGTTCGAGTGGCACAGCAGGCCAAGGATGAAAAGATGACCTACTCTAAACTTGGGGATCTCTCCGACCTGATCCTCCTGGTCTACCATGACGCAGCTTGGGCCAACATCCCTGAGTATGAGGAGAACCTGGACGACGCGGACCAGAAGGACACTGGCATCTACTCCCAGCTTGGGCATATCACACTGATTGCCCACAAGAACATCCTCGAGGGCGAGACCGGCGAAGGACTGGTGGCATGTTGGAAGTCTCATGCATGCACCCGAGTTTGCCGAAGCACCTTCGCAGCCGAGACCATGGCCGCACTTGAGGGTTGGAGGTCCGCCATAGCTTTTAGAGATGTTCTTCTAGGCTGTTTTAAGTCGCTCTATGATTCGGTCCACCGAATTGGAGGGCCAAGAGCACCTTCAGAGAGACGGTTGATGGTTGATCTTGCTGCCATCCGCCAGATCATTCAGGAAGAGGAATCCACCTGGCAGCTCGAACACAAAACCATCTTCCGTAAGGCTCTGCGCTGGCTGCCCACTTCCGCACAGTTGTCAGACAATCTGACTAAGGTCATTCCAAAGACTAAGGAGTGGTGGGGTCGGCTGAAGGCTTTGAAGCCGGCAGGGTCAATAGTATAGAAGACGAGTGTGAACATGTCATTCAGTTGACCCTGCCGGCCGCCGCTTTAATGGCACAAGCGTTCGCTGTCTTGTGAAAAGGCGTGTATGCCTTGCTTGTTTACAGTTACTAGTAGCTATGTCTGCTATGTGAGTCAATTTAAAGTCATAGTAACTCCGATTGTGCAGCATTTTCCATTGATGACCAGGCGATCATGGCCGAGCGCAGGTAGCTCCCATTCGGATGCCTGAACTAGACTAATGGAAAACGTGGATTTTGATGCAGTCCCATTCATCTGTCCAAAAGAGCACGAACAGGTGAAACAACTGAAGCTTCCAAGCTTATCTTTGGGACTGCATCTGTATAGTACTCTTGGCTAGTTCAAGGCTAGAGCGGGTTTCCGTGTGAGACACATTGAACTTCTGTCAATGCCAAAAGACTGACCTGTCAGCGTGCCCAGCCCCTCGCGCAGGCCCACCCACAGGTTCATAGCCCTTCGATGATCATTCCAACAGGTGTTTAGCATTTGTGGCACTTGTCGAAGGCCTATCAGGCAGGCCGATACACCATGTTGTTAATGTATGGCCATAGTCAAAAATTCACAAATTCATTGCAATGCTACGAATACTGCTACAAGAGTGAGGGTTTCTTTGATGGCAACGCCACGAGTGCTCTCAGGGGAGCAATGTGTTGTCTTCCGGCATTACAGGTGTTGGCGGCAGCTTGGTCCAATCAGAGACCTGATGCACACGCTCCTTGTATTGAAGCTGATCTGCAGTGGCTTTGGAAATGCACTGAGGTAAAGGTAGATGTCTTGCTGATCCCTGGCTCACATCATGGGTGGTAAACTCTTTCTGCAGAGAGTAGTAGTTGTCTGTAATCACCAACTGGTTCTGCCCCTGCAGGAAGCCAGGCGTAATCACTAGGCCATATTGATTGTTCTCCATGGAAAACTCAAAAGCCACAGCACCATTCAAGAAATCCCCCATATGGTCAAACATGGCTGCCACTTGCACCCAAGTGCGACCACCCTTGTAGTCGGGGCATTCTGTTTCAAAGGCCCCAGTGTTGCATCCAAACTCGGTGAACAGGAAGGGCTTCGGCAAAGAACGGAATTCCTTCACCACATTCTCATAGGGCGAGTATTTGAAGTCAACAGTTCCATCTGGGCTCTTGTAGTCAGGGTCGCACCAAGAGTACACATTGAGCCCAAACGCGTCCACCACATCATCTGGGCTCTCAAGCTCACAGGTCAGGTATTTTGCAATGTCGAGGCGTGCACTGCCACCCTGGTCTTTGTTGGAGTAGATCAAAGGAACCTTTCTGTAGCCCTTCTCCCGTTGGTAACGGTGGATGTCGCGCGTCAGGGCTTTGACACAGGGGTAAGCTGCGAAGCCTTCCTTGTCGAGCTGATCAATCTCATTGGCCACCACAAACATGAAGGTGTTGTCCTACAGAACACATCATCTCAAAACAGCCAAATAGATGCACAATGATTCAGATAGCTTTCAGAATTTGGGTCCGGTGAAAGTCCGACCCAGATCACGAACCAATCCAAACTCAAACAACACAGTTACTGGAAAGCTTTATTACTAAGAAGTTTCAAAACATACTAGAAAGCTTCTTGTTACTACGGGTGCAACGATTCCCAAGGAAGCTGAAAGGGTTTCATTCTCTTGAGACCAAGAGACATACTTGCTGAATTGATCCACAATGAGCTTGGCCGAGGTGAGCAGGTTCAATCCCACGTGCCCATAGTCTGGCAGATCTTCATAGTAGCACTGAGGACTTGCTTGTCATGGGACTTCTCCGGGTCGATGTTGTAAAGGCGTACCACGTTGGACCCCAGCTCAGCAATCAAAGGCAAGTAAGTCTTGAACTGGTCCTCCATGTCATCTGAGGCAGGATCTTGATAGTATTGGAGGGGTGCAAACTTCGGTGTGCCTGGGATACATTGTGGGTTCTTTTTTCCCAAGACCTGTCCGTAGTTGCCGTTGCGAGGATTGTAGGCCACACCTTTGGCAAAAAAACGGTTCCCCCCAGCATCGTAGAGCAAGTTGCCTCGCACCTCCACTGGGTATGCCGCGGAGCTTAGGCTTCGATTGGAAGCCAGTGACAAACCGAATATGCTTGCAAGAATCAAGACCGTGGCCATGGCAAGAATCACAAACTCAACTATTCCACCCAGAGTCTGCTTTTGCTTCACAAACTGCGCAGTGGGAATTAAGGTGTGCTTCAAGCAGACATCTGCTCATGCATGACAAAAGCGGCATTGCCGTCAAATTCTGATCCTGGACTCACAAGAAACATCCGTTCCTGGCCTTCGATGGGATGTATGAAGATACAGCTTCGAGGCAGTGGGAGCCTGACGCACGAGGCCTTTGTGGAGCTGGTTATACAACACAGTAAGGGTTTTCAGTACAAAGGCTCATGCTGCTGAGTTTCACTTAGTGCTATTTCATTCTAAGCACGGGCATGACTGAGAAAAACCATTGAAACGGCCTTCGGGCATACGCGAGATGCTCTTCAATGGCCACATGGTATTCGAAGTGGGCTCCAGAGGAGACCGCTTCACGCACGCGGTGGCGCATATTCTCGCTCATCCTAGGAATTTGAGAGTGGGGCTGCCCTCTTTTCAAGATTCTTCTTGACCAGACACTCACAAGAATGTTGAAGTGGCAAAGCAGCTGGCAGCTGTCCTCGATAACTCTCCAGGGTCAAAGCCAGGCCGAAGGTGGCTGATTGTCAGGTCCTAACAAAGTTCAACATGTTCAACTCCCAGTGATAAGGTTTGGGTTTGACATCGCTGACCTCTTTGATCTCTTTGGCTATTCTGTCAAAGAGTCGGTTTGGGGGCCAAAGACCAGGACAGAGTTTGCCAGGTGAGAGTTGGACAAGGCTCCGAAACCACCCATTGACCTCAGCTGTGCACAGCCTTACCGGGAACTCTTGATTTATCGCGATGAATTTGTTCTCTGCTGCCAAAGCGCACGCCCAACAGAATGACTCTCCGGTATTCCTGCGCAATCCTCAGTCTCACCATCTGCCTGAAACTACAAATGACAACCTAAGGCCTCGACTAATTAGAGTTATATGATATGTTAAATAAGCGACCAAGAAGCTCCTTGAGCTTGCTCTCTACATGAAGTTGCTCCCTCTCTGCTGTGTCGGCATACCATTGGGCAGCAGTATCACACAGAGATAGCACGTCGAAGTCCTCGAGGACCTCTCCATTGCGCCTCAAGGGTCAACCAGTCCCTAGCAGCCTAATTGGCAACTGCCATGGTTGTCTTCTCGTCTTTGCTACGACTACGACTGCCACCATTTCCAATTTTTCATGAACTACTCGCTTGTGGCAGGTGGAACACATCAGCATTTCAATTCTCCAAACCGCGCCCAGAATGATGAGGTGGAGCTAGCAGCCAAGCAGTTGAGGCCAACTGTTCCACTTCATCCTCACCATCGCCCACCGTTGTTCCGTGCAGCCTTCCTCATTGAGACTCGGAAATGCCAGCAATGTCGGTTCGTTCATACACGTTTGGCCGTCCCACAACTCTTGACCACTTCAACTCATGTAGGGGCACGTGGGTGGAGATCTTCCTGCAGAGAGGTGCAAGCATATCAACATCCGACATCATCCCCTTATGTTTCAGCTAGGCATCTGTGAAGCTCAGAGAAGGTTCCCAAGTTCTCCAGTGATATTTGAGCTTCGGCTTCTGCCACTGACACCTGCCCTGCATGCACTTGACTAAGCACCTGAGCTTTCTGCTTGAGCACCTCTCAAACATATCACAATGAGAACTGATGACATTCATCCTTCACATCCTTCATCCGACAAGTCTCCAATGGAAATGAAAACTAGAGTTCGGCTCCGGCGCCCCAAGCCACTCAGGCTCACCCTGACTGGCTGCGAAGGCAACCACCAACACATCGTGATGCTGTTGTGGGCGGGCACCTTTCACTGGATTGACGCCTTGCAGGCAATCTGCTCGGATGTCTACGAGTCACGGTCTATATATATATATAATTCTCAGCAACTCTACCACGAGCAATTCAACCGCATCCTACCCACTAGCGGCTGCCTAACTTTAGAAGCACTTTGCAAATCTACAATTCGACTGCTAACTGCAAGCCTTCTGGCCGTTTCAGCTGTGAAGCAGGCTGGAGCTTCGCATAGAGCCTGGAATCTCATCCATTGTGCCCAACGCAGCTCATGCTGCTTCCAAAGAGTTAGGTCCAGAACAACAGAACCAAACAGCGCATACAGAAAAATAAGAAAATCAAACAGCACGCCGAATGCACCAATCTTAAATGTCAGCCAGTCAAATCATCTGCCCGCCCCGGTGACACCAAGCCGCTTTCCCCATGGAAGCATCCATCCAACGGAGGCCTGACAATCTGAGAAACACCAAATGTAGAAATTGCAGATGTTGAATCGGCTGTAATTAATGGTGTTGGTAGGGGATGCTGGCACAGGGATGCCGAAATGGTATGTGAGCCTCGAAATGGATATGGGTAAGCGCATGGTCAAGAAACATGGTAGTCAGTGTATTTTGTTGCAGGACTATCCCCTGAATTTCAGCTCGAGCTTGCTATCCAACTGGCGCAACTAACCTTCATCTAGCGGGCGCTCTAGCCTCGTAAATATGTTGAAAATGCAATGGCCTGATGAGAATTCACCGCAGCTGGGCGCCCACACCCAGGGTGGGGCTGGATGAGTTGCCGCCTGCACAGCATCCAAACCCAAGAGTCGCAGCTGTGGACCCTGCGAAGCCGCCAAGTCTTCCAGAGTGGCCTCACAGAAAAAAACAAGGTTTGAAGCTGCCAACTATATGTAGAAATGTGTTCTTTCAGAATAGTGTTAGACATCAAGGTTTCAATCTTGGTCACAGATTGGTCGCGCCTTGGAGAAAGGATTCGCCTCCACCAGCAAACGCTCCAAGTTCTTCAGCCTTCATTATATGTCATGAATCCACAGGGAGGACCGCAGAACGTGCCCGCCCCACTTTAGAGTAAGAGCGCCTTAAGGCCTTAAGGTCACCGGTCTTACACAGATCTGATGTGCATGCTATTGAGATGCACAATCTTAGACTGCTACACGAAATGACACCAGAACAAGCCGTCGCAGCCTTCCTACTCCTTTTGGCAAATCTTGGAGTTGATTGTTGTAGAGGTAAAGCCATCGGAGCTCTTCCCTCAGAGTCGGCATCTGTCAAGTGAAACACAAAACGAAACCTATACTACGCCAAATTACAGAAGCTTCTTGCAGCGATCCAGACAGTGTGAGCCAACGTCATGAGCCCAGCGGCAGGTGCACCATGGAAGCTGGCAGCGCTCGTAGGTTGTTGTCGTGCAACGAAAGGTATTGAAGCTGCCTGCGCTGGGATCATTAGAATGGGTGCAGTCAACCAATCAACCAGCCCATGCACAAACCCCATTCTCATGCAGCCCAGGCACTGCAATGAACCCAGTGATGAGGGCAGCAACTCTAAACGATTGCCCTGCAGTGACATTTCCGTGGCTTGAGCAAGCTCACAAATGCTGTCCTTGGTTCATTAGCACATTCTTTCCTGCAAGTATCTCCACACCATTCCAGATTCCATATCCCTTCACATCCATTCCACAATGGAGGCGCCTAAAAATGACGGATTAAAATTACACCAGCATGGACCCTAGATTGCAAAAAAAAAATCGCAGCAGCAGCTCCCTGCAGCGGCACCAGCACCCAGGCTCTACTGCCAAGGCAGCAACACCCTGCAGCGGCACCAGGCAGCGACACAAAGCGCACACAGCCACGGACATCTCGCGGGGCATCACGAAGAAAAGTTGAAAGGGGCAGGAAAAACAGTGAGCAATGGAAGGAGAAAAAAAGACTAGGGAAAGAGAATCGAAATGTTGGACACAGCCAAGGCAGGCCCTCCCTATCATCCAGCAGAGAACAATGAAAGAATGTTTGCAAAAAGCGTTAGGCGAGGGGTGGTGTGGAGATGCGATGGGTCACCTTGAAAATATCTGTCGTGGCAGGCGCAGGGCATTGGCAAAAGTAGTGCAGATGTCGTGGCGCTGGGGCGGGGTGGGCGGAGGGGGAGGGCGCAGTCGCAGGGCCTCCTCCCCCCAGATCGAACCAAAAACTGAAAAGCCAACAAGACTCAGAAGGCACCACAAAATAGATCGTCATCAAAAACTACACACCCCACTGCCCCGTCAATGAAGGAAGGACACCCAGAAAGTGACACAAGCACTTTCGCTCGTGGCAGTCTGGTGCGTGCCTCCCAATTGTAGGAAGCAACGCACTGAAACCTCAACCGAGGCCGCAGCACGCCTCTGGAGTTTTGTCCGAGGCGCCAAATTTGCAAGCCTCACGCTTTGTCACCAATGGACCACGAGGCCAGCGGACCAGAGGACCAGAGGAGCAGGGGACAAAAGGACCAGGGGACCAAAGGACTAGGAGACAAAAGGACCGAGACCAATCGACTAGGGGACCTACTAAATTATTTGTGTGATCCTGTTATAGCATATCCTGTCATTATCTTTTTGTTGTTGCTGTCTATGTCTTTTGATTATTGTATAATCATATAACCCTATTCTTACTTTTTTGATCTAGAATCTAGATGCCCACCTAAAGGCCAAGTGTCTGGCAGGGACCGTAGCTGATTGGCATAAGCGCGAACGGCCTTCACGTCATGACATCTGCCTGTCAGAACACCCGAACTATCTAGAATCTAGAATGGTCAGGGAGGCGGACATACCCAATGCCGATGCCCATGTTTTTCAATTTGAGAAAACTCAGAGCAGCTCGGTACAGCACATTATTCCAAATTATGTTTCTGCCAATGGTCCCATGCCACCTACACCGTCCGGCAGCTCTTTCAGCAAGTTGCCAGAGACCTTGTGCAACGGTAAACGACGCAACGACTGGTGGCAGTACCAAGGACGAGGACAGTACTTTTGACCAAGCCCGAAAAGAGGGAACAAAGCACAAAAGCTCGATGTACACTACACAGGAATGACTGAGTTCCAGTCTTTGATTCCATTGAGGAGTGGAGGAAAACTTGCGGGCATCTCCACCAGCTGATTGCCGTCAAAATAGAAGTCCCAAAGGCGGACCAAATTGCCTAAGATTCCCAAACTCATCCATCCATCCAACAACCGCTCCCCTAACATGCCAGTTTCTGCAACGGAACGCGTCTGCATTTGCCTCTCTGAACGCTAAGGATTCCAACTTGCATTGATTCACTGCTCATTGTTTGCAGAAGTGCACAGCTGCTCTGGGAGCCGCCGGATCGGACAGCAGGCCACCACCAACCTTGAAGAACAAAGACATAACCAAATCGACCAGCAGCTTTGTGGCATGGAGAATCCCAGACATGTCACATCTGGAAACTAAACAAGTGTGTGCCGGCCAGGGTTGATGAAAAGCCTCAATTGAATTGCTGGCGCCTTTAAACCTGCATCATTATAAATTATCATCATTATCCAAGAGTCTGTTGCAAATTTCGGAGCTCGCAAAGCTCCACAGGCAGCTCCCGAAGGTTCGTCGAACACAAGACCAACCTGACAAAAAAAAAAAAAAACAAGCAATGGCGACAAACAACGCGTGGTTTGAGGGTTTTGAGGGGCTCCGCCTGGTGAGAGACTTCAGATTCTGGATCTCCGGCGGCAGTCGCTCCAGCGGGTGTCCCGTAAAATCGAGGCATCGCAAGCCTGAAGCATAGCCCCCACATAAGTCAGGCAATGAACGATCTTTGAGTCATGCTATGACCACTGGCCACGCCTTGAATGGACAGTACACAGCTAGGAATCTGGTGCATTGGTATCATCTCCCGACCACGTTTGATCTCCTCTGCCCGGGAAAACCTCGGCGACATCCACCGCTTCAGTCTATAGTTTGTTTGCACTTGCCGTCTTCCACCCTCCTCCTGGGTGGGTGTCCAAGAACCAAAGAATGCAAACAATGATCAAGAACACAGTTCACCCAAGAAATTTAAAAAAACAGGGATCAACTTATCAACAACAAATACAGAAACTGGCGATATTGCAATAAAACCAAAAAGCAAATGATGATCAAAATAAAAACCAGCAAGCATCTAAAAATGGAACGACGACGACGACGACGCCGCCGCCTCCTCCTCCTGCTGCTGCTGCTGCTACTGCTGCTGCTGCTGCTGCTACTGCTACTGCTACTGCTACTGCTACTGCTACTGCTACACCACCACTACCACTGCTACTACTACAACTACGGCAACTGTTACTACTACTACTACTACTACTACTACTACTGCTACTACTTAGTAGCAGCAGCAGCACCAGCAGCAGTAGCTGTAGCTCACAAAAGGTCTCCTACTCCTACCTTGGAATGACGCCTTCCTTCCTCCTCTAAATTTTGTCCTCAGGTGGCTCACACAAGGCCCGCGACATTGGAATGGCTACTGGCTCTCACCTAAATTTTGGCATTAATGCGTGTCACGTGCAAGCCGTGCTGTCCTTCAATGCCTTTTCCCACCACGAGAACGTAAAATGTGAGCCTATCGCATCGGTCTTGCTTTCTTGCTTTCTGTCGTTCTTTTCTTTTTAACTTATTTCTTTATTTCTTTCTGTCTGTCTGTCTTTCTTTTTTGTCTCTCCTAAGTATTGTTTTTTGATGCCCGCGTGTCTTTCTTGACCCCTATGTGTTTTTAGTTGATCCCTATTTGTGTGTTTTATCCGCTCCCCCTGGAACCGATCACACCACACGAATCGCCTCATTTGAACCTTGCCAACAGTTTCTGGAATGGCTGTCAATGGCTAAAGCAGCTCAACGGGCCAAGCAGCTCTATATCCGTAGGATCTCGTTTGTGTAACTCTTCACTGCATTCTTCGAGGAGGAGCCGGAGGCCTTCCCTCGGGGAGGATCTGAACCTCGGGACGCCCCCAATCCCGGCGGCACATCGGCTTCGTGAGGAGTGGGCATATTGTGTCCAATCATCATAGCAATGGCCTCCAACCTACTAGCGATGGTCTCCACCTGTCTCGAACCAGCTCGCACCATCTCTCACTGGGTTGCTGTGCTATGTTTGTGTCCAAAATGCTTGACCGGCAACAGCTCTATGATATACATATATATAGATATAGATAGATATACATACATATTGAGATATATATATATATACAATTATATACACAAGAAGCCAAAAGGGATACGGGATACTATATCAAACAATGACAACTCAACCGAAACAAACGGCTGAGAGGCTCCTCGCATGTTGCACACTCAAACTTGTCATCTCCCTGTGCCGCTTGTAGCATGCAATTCCTTGGCATCATGGTTTCAGTGCGTACTTCCTCTGGCAATTGGACTCCCAGAAAGTCCATCAAGCCTAGCCATAGGAAGACAAGCCACAGGTGGTAGCCATGCTGGCAATCTGGCACAATTGCCTGCACTCCAAAAGCAATGGCCGAGTCAAGCAAGAAACCAGTTGCCTCTGTACTCTAGGTACGTGCGTGTATACTGTGTATATGTATATGTATGCCATTATAGATGTACGGCACACTCTGGAAGAGGAAGTCCGTTTGGCGCTCATGCTTCGAATCTCACAAGGCAGAAAGTCCAAAATTACGCCCGGCGGCCGGGCGACCCCACAGAGCCTGCGCCCATCTCTGGGGGTTGAGCGGCGTCTGGCAAATGCCGCAGGTCGACCGTTCGTCCATGGCACCTTCCGATTGCCATGCAGCGCCTCTGACGTCTTGAGACGAAACAGAATTTAGCTCAGGGACCTTTGAGGGAGTCCTCATAAAACTATGCTAGTGCTGCAGCTACGCTTGTGAGTGGCAGGCTGAGGTGTGAGGTGGGCCTGATCCAAAGCTAGCTGGCCAAGACCCTGCACAAATACTGGAGACGACAACGCCGCTTCACTTCAAAAGACTCGATTTTGAGGGATGTTTCTGGAAACCAACTCATTCCGCCCGCCCTTTTTCCGCCCGCCCTTTTGGCGGGGCACTTTTTCAAGGACGACCATAACAAGCGCAGGAAACTTAATGCCGCATGCTTCTTGGCTTTGCAACTTTGTACAAGCACGTCAGGACTTGTCCATCGCTTTTTACAGTCTAGTCACGTGACCGCACCCCAAACTGCTCACAACATCGCAATGAACTTGGGGACCCAGTAGAACCAAGGAACCAATACCGCGTCACTTGGCAATGCCGTTCTTGGAGACCTGCCGCTGGATGCACTCCGTCAATACCTCAACCTCAGTTGGTTACATGGCAACATGGGGGAACGCAGAGTCGAGTCATTGGCAAAAGCAGCCAAACATCATCCAAATGCTTGTTCTTGCGCAAGCAAGTGCTGAAGGTTGAGAACCAACAATGCAAACCAAAAACAGTCAAGATTGTCCTTGGCAAAGTCTCCTCCAGTCTTCTGCCAAGAAGGGCAAAGATCTTCAAAAACATCTCCAATCTCATCCTTGGAAACACATTGTGTTTTTGCTGCCCTACCATGCAACGTCCCGTCGGTCGAGTATTGCTGGGCGTTGGCGTGGCAAAACTTTAATGTCTCTGTTCATGGCTGCATGGAAGTAGACACGCTGGTCCTCATGATAATTTAGAAGTCCGAAGACATGTTCGTGAATGTATTCCTCTGTGGAATGCCGCCAGCCAGTTTTTCTGGGCCGACCACATCTTTTAACACCATATCCAACTCTTGAAGCGGCAAAGGGTTCCAATGAGATTTGCCTTTATTAATAGGTCTACGGTCTAAAGAAGAAGCACGAATGATATGTCCAAGCAATCTGGCCCTCCTGGTATTGTCCATCATCAGACGGAACCACTGCAAAGAACGGTTGCCGTGTCTTGTGGAAAGGCAAGTTAGTTCCGATGCCTTCTGCAGAACTAGTTTGAGTTTGGTAGTAGCAAACCTATCGACAAAAGTAGGCGCTAGCTTGAGGATTCTCCTTAAACATCTCACTTGGAAGGCATGGAATTTCTGACGTTTGATGCCTTCCAAGAAGGTGCCATGTTGAACGAATTGATTCCGTCATGATGTCATGCATCCAATAATGCATCTTGTTCAAAACTGCATCTCTGATGTTTACATCTTCGATTTTGACTAACTCTTCTCTCTTAGCAGATTGATTCAGCCCACGAACGTTCAGCGTTGCAGCTCCTTGAGTCGCTGGTGTGAAAGTAGTCTGACAATGTTTCCCAACATGTTGACGAAAAATGGGCGTATCGCAACTTTGACGCAGGATTTCATGGCAACGCAAGACGATCAAATCAAAACCGTGTCGGTAAGCGCAAGGTCCTACTATGCGTAGTATTTCGTAGTATCCTAACTGTGTTGGAAAGGATGCCTCTCTTCGTGCCACACGCCACCTGCGCGGCTTGCTCCTGAAGCCTTGTCCTCTTGCAGAATCTCCAACAGGGTCGTCAAGAAGCCTTTTTTTCCTGAAGTGCATCTAAATGCTACTAGGAACAAAGGGCATCGCTACTAGTACTAGGAGCAAGGACGCCACTAGTGGCTCCTGGCAATACTACTAGGAACAAGAAGCTACTAGGAACAAAGGGCATCGCTACTAAATGATGCATTGTAATAGAAGGGCGTGTCCATATCCTTTACCTGTTTCCGGACGCTTTGGGAGATGTTTGTCAGCCCTTTGGGCACTGTCCCAGGGTACCTGGTCTGCAAGGGAGGGAGAAGCCTTTTCTTTTGGATTGCTGGTGCCCATCAAGAGGTTTGTTGTTTGTTAATTACTCTTGACTCCTAGCAGCTAGCATTCTGCTATGGAGCCAGTCTTGTCGCCTTAGTTGTTGCCTCGTGCGAGTGCCTACGGTGTAGTGCAGTGTTTCTCATGCTTTTCTGCGCCGCCCTCATATTCACGGCCAGCTGCGAAAGTCACCGCATAGGCATAGGGATACAGTAATTGGCATAGTCTGAGTAATGTGGATGGCCTTTGTGCACCATGCTGCATGCCACTTGTCGCGGATGTCTACCAGTCACTTTCGAACCATGATTGCCAATAGCCCCGTCTTTGTCGGTTGCTTTGACGGCTGGCCACTTGGCCTCCACATCATAGATCATCTTGTCTGAGTGAGTTTTGTTGTTCCGGCATATCAGTTGTGGCATGGCTGGTCAGGATGTGAAGTGCTGTGGTCAATGCGAGGTTGATGGTCAAGTAAGTTTTTCCTTGCTAGCTTGTAATAATCAGCCTGTGCCATCCTCCTTTCCAGTGTTGTGCGTAGTTTCCTGGCTCATCCCAGTAGTAGAGCGCGTTTTTAGCGGAAAAGGTTTTGCACGCAACGTAAACTTCTCAAAGTAGTGATGGGAGTTCGCATCTTGGAAGATCAAGATCGTCACCGGCGAGAGCTGAAATCCTCTTCCTACTGTGTAGTGCCCATGCTCTTGCTCCGTTGCGTGATATACTCACATTTGCCAGAAGCCAGTCTCTGATCCTGACCCTATTGTGGTATGTAGCCTCCTCGGAGCATGCCTTGATTACCATCTTGTGTTTGCTGGCTTTGGTCTCACTGTCCAATACAAGTTCATGGGCCATGGGTGCAATCTGACATGCATCGGAGGCCGTCGATCTGCTCTGTCACTGCCTCCAGCGGTCGTGTCGTGTGAGTTGTTCATGGGAAGTTGTTCCTGCTGCCTTCATGTGTTCGAGTTCTGCGTTCATCCGTAGGCTGAGCTCCTGCATCTGCTTGATCAGGGCTTGTGTATTCTCGTCTGTCGCAGGCTTGAGCTGCTTGTCTTTGGTGTGCTAGTTCTTTTACAAGCTTGTGGGGTGTTGTGGCTGGCTATTTCATGCACGCTACAAAGTGCTTGATGTGGCTGATCCTTTTGGACCCCAAATTCGCTTTGATGTGAGCTTCTCCATCTCGACATCTTGTTTGCTGTAATTTTGTTATGGTAGATCAGCTTGTATGTTGCGACGAGCTGGCATACTCACATCCACTTTGTCGTTCTTTTCCTCTGGTCTGTATCTATGGTCTCCCTCTTCTCATGTTGGTCCTTTACTGTAATGTCCTTTATAATTCTTGGCATCTGGTTTCAGATGCGCCGGATGCGCTTGTTTGACTGCGTTCATAGCTCTAAATCTGTTTTGGAGCCAAACGCCTTCTGAAAGTCTCGGAAATCTTGGCACGAACAACAATAGGTTCGATCGAAAGGACTCCAAGTAGCCAAAACATCCGGTGCCGTCATTGCCCTCTTCTTCCTCACAAAGGCTGCACGGCAGCTGGCGCGAACCAGCTCACAGGCTGCACAGCCAGCGTCCACCATAGGCACAGCATCACCTCGACGCGAATTCGACAGTCGGGACGGACTAATCTAGTGGAAGCTCGGTGAAATCGCCACTCGTTTACCTAAAAGTCCTAGAAGAGAAAAAACAACGGTGGACATGGGTCCCTTTTATATGGTCCCCTTTGAAGGACCCCTTCTTTCTTTTAATGTTGGATCGTGATTAGTAAAGGGGGGTCCCCCCCTAGCTAAACGAATGGGTGGTCGTCTATAATAAACTAGTACCAAAACAAATCTAGATTCCTGGTAGATTTCCTTTTGCAATTCAATGTTGTATTCATGTTCCTTTCATAGATTGTATTCAGTTTCCTTTCTCAGGTGCTTTGTAATTGTTCTCAGCAATCCTTTTGCTTTGCAGCCTCAGATCTTCACCTAGAGAAACCTGTACCAGCTAATGAATCATAATCATTGGCCTCAGGAGCTAAGTAAAGGAAGATTCCTTGAGCAGATCTATTTGCACAATTGAGAACCCCTAAAACAAATCTATTATTGATGATCAGGTGCCTTCCTGGTCTACTACCTTAAAAAAATTGTTTAGGAGCAATGTTCACATCAAGGATTGCATTAGGAAGTGGTGGGTTTGGAAAGCTGTCAGTTTTGAAGAACACCTAGAAGGCTTTGCTGCTGGCTGCTTGCCTGGGAAGGGAGGGGGGAGTGCAGGTGGACAGGGTTCAGAAGGAATTCAATCCCTTATTAGGTGTCCAATATTTAAAAAATTAGGGTCCCAAAAAAAGAAATACATCACCGTAGACCCCAAACAGTTTGTGTTTTTGAAAATCGGAACGAACACTCTGCAACTAGAGCTTGCGACGTCCAGAGCTGGGAGACAAAGGATTGCAAGGCAGAGGCGGCCACAGCAGGGAGAAAAACGCAAAGGATTGCAAGCGACATGCAGCCCAGAGCTGGGTGACAAATAAAGGATTGCAAGGCAGAGGCGGATACAGCAGTCTAGAGCACATGTAAAGGATTGCAAGGCAGAGGCGGACACAGCAGCCCAGCGCTGGGAGACAAATGTACAGGATTGCAAGGCAGAGGCGGACACAGCAGCCCAGAGCTGGGAGACAAATGTAAAGGATTGCAAGGCAGAGGCGGACACAGCAGCCCAGAGCTGGGAGACAAATGTAAAGGATTGCAGGGCAGAGCAGTTGGGAGACAAATGTGAAGGGTTGCAAGCGAGAGGGGGAGAGAGGAGGCACATGTAAAGGAAAGAAAGAAGACAAGGCGGACACAATGACCAACAAGAAGGAGGACAACAAGGGAGACAAGAAGGGAGACAAAAGGAAACAGAAGGGAGACAAGGGAGACAAGACCGGAGACAAAGGGAGACAGAAGGGCGACAAAGCGGAGACAAGGCGGACACAATGACCAACAAGAAGGGAAACAAAAGGAAACAGAAGGGAGACAAGACGGACACAGCAACCAACAACAAGGGGGACAGAAGGGAGACATGCGGACACAGTGAAGGGAGACAAGAAGGCAGACAAAGACAAGGCGGACACAATGACCAACAAAAAGGGAAACAAGAAGGGAGACAAAAGGAAACAGAAGGGAGACAAGGCGGACACA